AAAACTGAATATTGACCAATAATAAATCGGTCTATCCCTAATCCCCAGTGAATGTGACTACTGTAATACAATAATACTGAGTACCTACACCCTGATAATAAACATCTCGCTCTGTATAATAATACTAAGTATCTACACGCTGATTATAAACATCTCGCTCTGTATAATAATACTGAGTATCTACACGCTGATAAACATTTTGCTCTGTATAATAATACTGAGTAGCTATATGCGGATAATAAACATGTCGCTCTGTATAATAATACTGAGTATCTATATGCGGATAATAAACATGTCGCTCTGTATAATAATACGGAGTATCTACACGCTGATTATAAACATGTCGCTCTGTATAATAATACTGAGTATCTATATGTGGATAATAAACATGTCGCTCTGTATAATAATACTGAGTATCTATACACTGATAGTAAACATGTCGCTCTGTATAATAATACTGAGTATCTATACGCTGATAATAAACATGTCGCTCTGTATAATAATACTGAGTATGTATACGCTGATAAAAAAAAAAAAAAAAAAATACGTCCCTCTGTATAATAACACTAATATCAACCTGCAATTTACAGAGACATCCATGAAATACATAGAGCTAGGTATAATACAAAGAAATACAGACAAATTCACACTGTTAAAGGGACACTCCAGGCACCCAGACCACTTCTGCCCATTGGAGTGGTCTGGGTGCCAACTCCCACTACCCTTAACCCTGCAGCTGTAAATACTGCAGTTTTCATAAACTGCAATAATTACATTGCAGGGTTAACTCCTCCTCTAGTGGCTGTCTACTAGACAGCCACTAGAGGGCACTTCCTGGTTTCTAGCCCAGGTTTTGTGAGGACCTCCACTGTCACTCAATTCCCCATAGGAAAGCATTTTCAATGCTTTCCTATGGAGAGGTCTAATGCGCGCGTGTGGCATTAGGTCTGCCCCCGCCATCAGATGTTGTGACGGTGAGGAGCGTGGGCGGAACCGAGGGACATCCTAGACAAATCGGTCTCAGGCAAATCACCTCTTCAACAACATGGGATGGGTGGTGGGAGGGAGAGGGTACCTGCAGTGAGTGTCCCTTTAAATCATAACGCTCTCTCCCCATGTCCCCCCTCTCCTCTCTCTCTTTCCCACCCTCCTTTCCCCTCTCTCTCCCCCTCCTTCCCTCTCTCCCCCTCTCCTTCTCTCTCTCCCCCTCTCCTCCCCTCCTTCTCTCTCCCCCTCTCACCTCCCCTCCTTCCCCTCCTCTCCCCCTCCTTCCCCTCTCTCCACCCCTCCGTCCTATCTCTCTCCACCCCCCCTCAATCACATCTCCTGCTCCTGCTTCCCTCCGTCACATATCTCTCCTCTCCCTCACTTCCCTCTCTCTCCTCCTTCCTTCCCTCTCTCTCCTTCCTTCCATCTCTCCCCTCTCCACCCCCTCCTTCTCTCTCCCCCCTTCCTTCTCTCTCTCCCCTTCCTTCTCTCTCCCTCTCATGTTTCCTCTCTCTCTCTCCTCATGTTCTCTCTCTCTCTCTCCCAGCCTTCCCACCCCCTCTCTCTCTCCCCCATGTTCCCCCCCTCTCCTCTCTCCCCATGTTCCCCCTCTCTCTCTCCCCAGCATGTTTCCCTCTTTCTCTCCCCATGGTTCCCCTCTCTCTCTCCCCATGTTCCCCTCTCTCTCTCTCTCTCCATGTTCCCCTCCTCCTCTCTCTCCATGTTCCCTCTCTCTCTCTCCCATGTTCCCTCTCTCTCTCTCCTTGTTCCCCTCTCTCTCTCTCCATGTTCCCCTCTCTCTCTCCATGTTCCCCTCTCTCTCTCCATGTTCCCCTCTCTCTCCCTCTCCATGTTCCCCTCCCTCTCTCTCCATGTTCCCCCCTCTCATTCTCTCCCTCTCCATGTTCCCCTTCCTCCCTCTCTCTCCATGTCCCCCCTCTCTCTCCATGTTCCTCCCTCTCTCTCCATGTTCCCCCTCTCTCTCTCTCTCCATGTTCCCCCCTCTCTCTCCATGTTCTCCTCTCTCTCTCCATGTCCCCCTCTCTCTCCATGTTCCCCTCTCTCTCTCTCTCTCTCTCTCCATGTTCTCCATGTTCTCTCTCTCTCTCTCTCTCCATGTCCCCTCTCTCTCTCTCTCTCCATGTCCCCCTCTCTCTCTCCATATTCCCCCTCTCTCTCTCACTCTCTCTCCATATTCCCCCTCTCTCTTTCTCTCTATGTTCCCCCCTCTTTCTCTCTCTCCATGTTCCTCCCTCTCTCCATGTTTCCCCTCTCTCTCCATGGTAGCCCTGCTCCAGCACCTGTCTCTTCAGGGCGTGGTTCGAATCCCACCGCTGCCACCAATTGTAACGTACCGTTTTGCACACCAGGGGTTAAAACCGTTTAGGCAATATTCCCCTTTTCAGATGCACAGGCACAGCTACTGCAGAACACCAATCCGCCGAACAGGAAACCATACGAATGCCGTAAACAGACGAATATGAAAAACCATACGAACAGGTTTACACTCCTAGCAGTCGAACTGGAACAGCATACAATAAATCCCCCCAAAAACGAGACAAAGCTCCGTGTAGAGGGTGAAGCAGTGAACAGACAGAGCTGTGGGTTTATTGTTCTTATATACACACATTAGTACAACCCACAGGGTTTTAGAACACAGCCAATAAACACATACAATACACTCAGACACTCCCACACAAAATCCTCCCCTCTGCCTGTTATACAATTACCTTACACAATGTAATTATCACAAGCAGAGAAGTACAATTTTTCCACATTATTCATAACTTGAAAAGTATGCATCACATTCACATAAACATTTTCAGAATCAGCATACTCCAAATACAAACATATGTCAAAATCATCCAAATTGGTCCAGTGGTTCAAAAGATAGATCGTAGTCCTTTGTGACCAAAGGAAGCATGGCTTTTCTGCCCAAAACCAGTTCCACAGAGTTTTCTATCCTGGAGATAATTGGGAAGTAATCCAATTATCTCCAAGGACAGATGCAAAACTCCATTGAACACATGGCAGCAAAAGACAATAAAACACATAAAAACATAACTGTGCAGCCATTGTAAAAAACAGGTACATTCAACATATCTCCAGACAGCTCAGATCTGAGCGCACATTATTACTGAATGGCGCTCCGAGCACACACATACAGTTCAATTGCCATGGAGCCAAAGTCTTTCCCATAGTCTTTCATTATACGAATGGGCTCCATGGCATAGCTATCTGGGGTATCACCGCTCAAACAGGGCAAGCACCAAATGACCCGGCTTTCATGTCTTTGCAGTGAAAAATCAAGCCTTTTTAACATGGGGCCATAATCCAAAGGGGCACAGGCGAAAGCAAATCAGGCTTTCCAATGCAATGTATGGTGATTGGTCTCGCCAGTGTTGTGTGTTTCTTTCAAACAACTCAACTTTGGTTTCATCTGTCCACAGAATATTTTGCCAGTACTGCTGTGGAACATCCAGGTGCTCTTGTGCAAACTGTAAACGTGCAGCAATGTTTTGTCTGGACAGCAGTGGCTTCCTCTGTGGTATCTTCCCATGAAAGCCATTTAGTGTTTTACATATTGTAGATTCGCTAACAGGCAAGTTGCCAGTGACTTTTGTAAGTCTTTAGCTGACACTCTAGGATTCTTCTTCACCTCACTGAGCAGTCTGCGCTGTGCTCTTGCAGTCATCTTTACAGTACGGCCACTCCTAGGGAGAGTAGCAGCAGTGCTGAACTTTCTCCATTTATTGACAATTTGTCTTACCGTGGACTGATGAACAGCAAGTCTTTTGGAGATACTTTTATAACCCTTTCCAGCTTCATGCAAGTCAACAATTCTTAATCGTAGGTCTTCTGAGAGCTCTTTTGTGTGAGGCATCATTCACATCAGGCAATGCTTCTTGTGGAAAGCAAACCCAGAAATGGTGTGTGTTTTTATAGGGCAGGCCAGCTGTAACCAACACCTCCAATCTCATCTCATTGATTGGACTCCAGTTGGCTGACATCTAACTCCAATTAGCTCTTGGATATGTCATTAGTCTAGGGGTTCACATACTTTTTCCACCTACACTGTGAATGTTTACATAGTGTGTTCAATAAAAACATGGCAACATTTCATTCTTTGTGTGTTATTAGTTTAAGCAGACTGTGATTGTCTATTGTTGTGACTTAGATGATGATGAGATCACATTTTATGACCAATTTGTGCAGAAATCCATATCATTCCAAAGTGTTCACATACTTTTTCTTGCAACTGTATAGAAAAAGTGTAAGGTGTACTTACAAATAGTAAGCGAACCTCTCCCGTACAGTGCTGACCCAGAAGTGATCACAGAAGGTCACGTGACGACGTGGTGTGTCGAGGGAATGGTTGCTAGGTAACAAGTGTACAGTGGTGAGGGCCGTGAGACAAATGCACTGATAGTGCTTACCAAAGCTTGGAGAATAGAGATAACCTAAAATAGAGAAGTATATTGAGGATCAAATATAAAAGACTGGACATAGGAGTGGTATACAGGACTGTGCAAGTGATTTGTGTGACTAGATTATATGTAAATAAGATATGTATATGTGTGTGTATATATATATATATATATATATATATATATGAAACCAAGATGGCTGCACTCACATTAACATGCATACATCACAAGATCAATCACAACAGTCTGCCACATAATCAAGTTCCCTCTCTGCTCATGTTCCCCCATCATCTTCTCTCTTTCTCCATGTTCCCCTCTCTCTCTCTCTCTCTCTCCATGTCCCCCCCGATTATTATTATTATTAGTGATATTATTATTATAATGTAATTGGCTGATTAGTGATATTATTAATATTATAATGTTATTGGCTGATTAGTGATATTATTAATATTATAATGTAATTGGCTGATTAGTATTATTATTATTATTATTATTATTATTATAATGTAATTGGCTGATTAGTGATATTATTAATATTATAATGTAATTGGCTGATTAGTGATATTATTATTATTATAATGTAATTGGCTGTTAAGTGATATTATTAATATTATAATGTAATTGACTGATTAGTGATATTATTATTATTATTATAATGTAATTGGCTGGTTAGTGATATTATTAATATTATAATGTAATTGACTGATTAGTGATAATATTATTATTATTATAATGTAATTGGCTGATTAGTGATATTATTAATATTATAATGTAATTGACTGCTTAGTGATAATATTATTATTATTATAATGTAATTGGCTGGTTAGTGATATTAATATTATTATAATGTAATTGGCTGATTAGTGATATTATTAATATTATAATGTAATTGGCTAATTAGTGATATTATTATTATTATTATAATGTAATTGGCGTATTAGTGATATTATTAATATTATAATGTAATTGACTGATTAGTGATATTATTATTATTATTATTATAATGTAATTGGCTGGTTAGTGATATTAATATTATTATAATGTAATTGGCTGGTTAGTGATATTATTAATATTATAATGTAATTGGCTGATTAGTGATATTATTAATATTATAATGTAATTCACTGATTAGTGATAATATTATTATTATTATAATGTAATTGGCTGGTTAGTGATCTTAATATTATTATAATGTAATTGGCTGATTAGTGATATTATTAATATTATAATGTAATTGGCTAATTAGTGAAATCATTAATATTATAATGTAATTGGCTGATTAGTGATATTATTATTATTATAATGTAATTGGCTGATTAGTGATATTATTAATATTATAATGTAATTGGCTGATTAGTGATATTATTATTATGTAATTGGCTGATTAGTGATATTATTATTATTATTATAATGTAATTGGCTGATTAGTGATATTATTAATATTATTATAATGTAATTGGCTGATTAGTGATATTATTAATATTATAATGTAATTGACTGCTTAGTGATAATATTATTATTATAATGTAATTAGCTGGTTAGTGATATTATTATTATTGTTATTATAATTTAATTGGCTGATTAGTGATATTATTAATAGTATAATGTAATTGGCTGATTAGTGATATTATTATTATTATTATAATGTAATTGGCTGGTTAGTGATATTATTATTATTATTATTATAATGTAATTGGCTGATTAGTGATATTATTATTATTGTTATTATAATGTAATTGGCTAATTAGTGATATTATTAATATTATAATGTAATTGGCTGATTAGTGATATTATTAATATTATAATGTAATTGGCTGATTAGTGATATTATTATTAATATTATAATGTAATTGGCTGATTAGTGATATTATTATTATTATTATTATAATGTAATTGGCTGATTAGTGATATTATTGTTATTATTATAATGTAATTGGCTGATTAGTGATATTATTATTATTATAATGTAATTGGCTGATTAGTGATATTATTAATATTATAATGTAATTGGCTGATTAGCGATATTATTATTATTATAATGTAATTGGCTGATTATTATTATTATTATTATTATAATGTAATTGGCTGATTATTATTATTATTATTATTATTATTATTATTATTATTATAATTTAATTGGCTGATTAGTGATATTATTATTATTATAATGTAATTGGCTGATTAGTGATATTATTATTATTATTATTATAATGTAATTGGCTGATTATTATTATTATTATTATAATGTAATTGGCTGATTAGCGATATTATTATTATTATAATGTAATTGGCTGATTATTATTATTATTATTATAATGTAATTGGCTGATTATTATTATTATTATTATTATTATTTAATTGGCTGATTAGTGATATTATTATTATTATAATGTAATTGGCTGATTAGCGATATTATTATTATTATAATGTAATTGGCTGATTATTATTATTATTATTATAATGTAATTGGCTGATTATTATTATTATTATTATAATTTAATTGGCTGATTAGTGATATTATTAATATTATAATGTAATTGGCTGATTAGCGATATTATTATTATTATAATGTAATTGGCTGATTATTATTATTATTATTATAATGTAATTGGCTGATTATTATTATTATTATTATTATTATTATTATTATAATTTAATTAGTGATATTATTATTATTATAATGTAATTGGCTGATTAGTGATATTATTATTATTATTATTATAATGTAATTGGCTGATTATTATTATTATTATTATTATTATTATAATGTAATTGGCTGATTATTGATATTATTATTATTATAATGTAATTGGCTGATTAGCGATATTATTATTATTATAATGTAATTGGCTGATTATTATTATTATTATTATAATGTAATTGGCTGATTATTATTATTATTATTATTATAATTTAATTGGCTGATTAGTGATATTATTAATATTATAATGTAATTGGCTGATTAGCGATATTATTATTATTATAATGTAATTGGCTGATTATTATTATTATTATTATTATAATGTAATTGGCTGATTATTATTATTATTATTATTATTATTATTATTATTATTATAATTTAATTGGCTGATTAGTGATATTATTATTATTATAATGTAATTGGCTGATTAGTGATATTATTATTATTATTATTATAATGTAATTGGCTGATTATTATTATTATTATTATTATTATAATGTAATTGGCTGATTATTGATATTATTATTATTATAATGTAATTGGCTGATTAGTGATATTATTATTATTATTATTATAATGTAATTGGCTGATTATTGATATTATTATTATTATAATGTAATTGGCTGATTATTATTATTATTATTATTTTCGCTCTGGATCCAGGAATATCCCAATAAACACAATGAACCCCGGACTCACCCTCCGCTCACTCACACTCAGCCAGCTCTGCACTGGGCGCACACCGGATGACGTCACGCGGTGGGAAAGCGGAAGTGACGTCAGGCATTGCGGCGCCATGATGGATGAGGGCAAGCCGGATCCTGTTTAATCCCGTGGAGTATTAT